TTAAAAGAATGTATAAATTTCTTTCTATGCATTGCTTTCACTTCATCCCACAAATTTTTATATATATCATGTTAAAATACTTTGAATTACTTTCTAATTTCCCTTATGATTTCTTTGTGATCCATGAGTTATTTAGAAATGTGTTATTTAATTTTCAGTTGTTTGGGGATTTTTTATATATCTAGTTGCATTAAATTTAAATCCACTGTGGTTGGAAAACACATGCTGCATTATTTTAATCCTTTAAAATGTATTGAGATTAAAATTATGGTCCTGATATGGTCTATCTAGGTAAATATTCCAAATACACTTTAAATGAATGTATTTTTACAATTTAGGGTGTACTGTTCCATGAATGTCAAATAAGTCAAATTGATAATGTGTTTGAATTCTTGCATATGTTTACAAATTTATTATCTACTTCTTTAAATTACTGCCAGAGAGGTGTTGAAATCTCTAACTATAATTGTTAATTTGTCTATTTTTACTTTTAGTACTGTCAATTTTTCTTTTTGTATTTCGAAGTTCTGTTATTAAGTTCATGTATATTTAGAATTATTGTATATTGTGATAATTTGGCATGTTTAGCACTATAAAATGACCCTTTTTATCTCTAGTAATACACTTGGTTTTTTAAGTTAACTTTGTCTGTTATTATTATAGCTACCTAGCTTTATTCTGCTTAAACCTTGCATAGTATGTCTTTTTTCAACTTTTTACCTTTAAACTATTCTTGACTTTATATTTGAGTTAGCTCCTTGTGTAAAGCAAAGAGTTGGATCTTCTTTATATTTCTGCCACCCTTACAATCAATCATATTTTAGGCCTGATTTTAGATCATCTGTTCTCTGGCTCCAAGAAATTAGCGTCTCCTTTAAAGCATGGAAGACCTCTGACTTTGGAATAATGCTTTAAGTTAGTTAAGTTAGTTGGATGGCATGAATCTATAATCCACAAAGCATTACAACAAAAACAAATTTGCATTAATCATAACTTCGCATCACTCTGAGTGAACTCACAAGCACTTAATTGTTCATTAGATAAGCCTCTGTAGCCTTTCTTTTCCTCCTCTGTAAGGACAAAAATAGCTCTTTGCTCTATAGAGAGCAATTAGGAAATCACTTGCCCCCTGACCCATTCGTGCATAATGTAGACTAATCAGCTTGGGAAGACTTGGCTTTGAAGAACTGGGTATATACATCCTGGTTTCTATAAACTTTCTACTTCTGCCTTTCACCACCCTCCACCAATCCCTTGACTGCTAGTAGGGAAGCTTAGCAGAACAGTGTACACAAATTTTTACTTGATCTAAAAATGTGTGAGGTGAGTCAGTCACTCATTACCCAGTCACCAAGAACCCTACCTAGTCTCCCACAGACTTAGAGCATGCTTTCCAGTTAAGCCAGTAGAAGTTTTGTGACTACACTATATATCAGAGATCTCTTTTAGACCAGATTTAAAGCAAACCTTTGGGAACAAAAGTCCTTGAGAGACTGAGTTATGAATTAATAAACCCAGGGATTTTATGGAGCAATATGATCTTGAACAAGAATTTTGCATTTGCAACAAGCCAAACAACACTTGCCATTACCTAATACAAATTGTATGACAATAACATTAATGATAGCAAATGGGAATCTACTGAGTTCAATAAAAATCATTCGATTAATTGCAATTACCTTTTGCCAAGACTCCAGTCTTTCATTTATTCACTCATTCATTTAATGCATAAAGGGCCTCATGCTAAATGGTAAGGTAAAGTTAGACAAGTCAGGAAATACAGATGTGGTCTCTGCCTTCATTGAGCTTGAAATGCACACAGGGAATAAGCATTCATCAAATAACCACACACAAACATAAAACTGGTACTTTGCAGCTGGATTAAGTACTTTATGTACGTTGTTTAGTTGAATCCTCACAACATCTCCACTTTATGATGAAGAAATGAAAGTTCCAAGAGGTGAAGTATCTAACCTAAGGCCACACAGTTGATACAAGTCAGAGCTGAGATTTTAACTGAGATGTTAAAATAGCATAAAAATAAAAAGTGGGGGTTTTGGACTGATGTACACAGACTTTTTTCTTTTAAAACTACTGATGTCATATCCTAAAAGCCATTGTATATCACGCTTTGATAATCCTACTAAACTGGTATAAATGCTTTTTAGATGCTATCGCAGGACTCCCCTTTGTGCCAGCCCCTATAGTTATTCGGCCTGTGAAACAAAGGCAGGCATAATGGGGCATGCTGTGATGTCTGCTCACGGATGATACAGTTGTAGAGACCTAGGTCCCCAGATCCCCTCCAGCACTTGACTTCAATGCAGCCATGGAATAGCCAGCAGTTAAGAATGGTCATGCTATGGTGATCGGTATCATGGAGGGAGAAGACTCCAAGCTCAGAACTGCTGAGTAAAAGGCATGAATGATGAAGCCAAAGGATCCCTGCAAGCTCAAATGTGTGTCTAATATCCGAGCTTTATTGTGTTAATTCTCAGAATAGGAATTTGCCCAGCTCCAGAACTCTATATACAATGTTTTTTGTTTGTTTGTTTCCTTATTTTTGACGTTTCAAGTATGCTTATGTTTCCAAATACTATCACCTCTTCCTAGCGTTTCTGATCAAGAGTGGTAAAAGCCTCGGAGTAATGGATGTGCTGGCTCCTTGATCAGAATCTTCTTGGTATTGGGGTGGTGGGTGGTGGGTGAAGTAGACAGAGGGGACTGAATGGCATGGTACTTGCTCAGCCCAAGCTTTCTGGCCCTGACAAGAGACTTTCTTGGATAGCAAAACCTATCTTTTGAAAATCCCTTATCTTCCAAAATGTCTGGTCAACAGCTTTTGGATTTACTGTAGGCAACCATTTGGATTTACTGAAACCGTTGATTGGCACTGCCTAGACATGATATTCTAAAAGGATATTTATGAACAGAATTTTATTAGCCCTGCATCTTGGGCTCTGTGGCAGGATCTGGCCATTTTCACATGCACGGGATTGGCAATAGCCTCCAATTGGCTGACAGGCACAGGCACAGCACAAAGTTTTAAGTTCTTTGGAATCCACGCTTCAGTCCCCATGTAAATACAATCAAGTAGGGAAAGCAACCTTTCCTGTATGTAGAGTACTCCTTCTTGTCTCCAAGTTCCTTGTCCTCTCTTGTCTCTGTTCATGGAAATGATACACAGAAATGATCACAATAATTGAATTTCCAAATATCTGGATGTGGAGAGATATAGGAAATGCACTTTTTAAGAGCTCTAGCGTGACTTGTTCTATTAAATTTGAGTAGACGTTTTCCACCAGAAATATCTTTATTCAATTCTTTAAAAAAAAAAAAAAAGGCATGGATATTTTAGGATTTAGCAGACCAAGGGCAAAACTAGTGATGGGGTGGGACATCCTTCAGTTTCCAGGTTAAGTCTCCTACTAGAAGTCAGCAAGTAGTTTTAGAAAATGCTCCACAAAAATCTTATTTTCCCTGTGAGCTCCACCTTTGGAAACCATCTTCTTGACCAGGTGACAGAGGAATAATCATGCCTTGTCCCAGGGCCTCTGACTGTCCTCCTTACTTTATTCTGCTCTAGTCTATCAACTGCTTATTATCCCCATATTCCCAGACATTAAGATCTCTCAATCCTCTTCTTTCCTGAGCGTTAGCTGTCAATAAATATTTATCCCTTCATCTTCCCTTTTCATTTATCCAACAGTATGCACTGGACGCCTACTCTATTGGAAAGCTACTCCCTATAACTATTCTATGTGTTGTCACTATACATAATATAGTGTACATATATGCATATGTGTGTGTGTGTGTGTGTACTAGTTTACTATCAAAGTGTGATATATAATGACTTTTAGGATATGATATCAGTAGTTTTAAAAGAAAAAAGTCTGTATACATCAGTCCAAAATCCCCATTCTTCATCTTTATGCTAATCAGCCTGTTCCCTACTCAGGTAGAACACCTGAGTTAACTACTGTAACTACTCTATGTATGTTTACTCTATTGTATTGTTTTTGGAGGTTGAGCTATATCTATGAATAAAAGGGTCCCTGGATTCCTACTCTCATGAAGCTTACATTATTCTAGTTGATTGCCTACTTTGAAAATGCTTCTCCCACTCAAAAGTTAGTGGCTATTCCACCCTTACCACTGATCCTTAAGAAATCAGTGCTATCCAGAAGTTATAGGGAGCAGCTTTCCTAGGCTTGGCAGGGCCAAATTGTAGCTCACAGCAGAGACACACACAAAGAAAACCAAGAGGAAATTATCACTCTAGCTGCAAATAAGTGCTAGATAAATTGCACATGTACAGTGTTGTATGTATTTCTTCCCCACACACACACTTTTCTGTTCCTCGGAATATGAGCTGGTTGATAATAATTTGGGAGGAGAGGACCACTATAAAGGTAAATATAGTTTATCATTTATCTTCCTTGGGCTTAAAAATCAAATAAGAAAACAAGCAAAAAAATAAAATAAAATAGGAAAAAGAAGAGATATGCACACACATCCTTTCAGTTAGTAAGATTAAACCCCTGGGTAAGGGGATATTTCACAGTATATGTGAGTCTGAAATATTTTGGCTCTGGTCAGATAGAGCGATGAGAGTATTGTCAAGGTGGTATTTTGATATCTTTTCCAATAGATTCAATCTACAAAAAACTATAATTATAAAAAACCCAAACCAAAACCACAGCCTTTGAGTCAATTCTGACTCATAGTGACCCGATATGGCATAGTAGAACTGTCCCAAAGGGTTTCCAAGTCTGTAATCTTTACAGAAGCAGATTGCCTCATCTTTTTCCCACAGAGGAGCTAGTGGGTTTGAACTGATGACTTTTCAGTCAGCAGTCAGGTGCTTAACCACTGCACTATCAGGGCTCCTTAACTATAGTTGATTGAGATGACAGTGCCCTCTCTATAAAGGGCTTGCTTCATCATTACTCTCTGGGTTCCCCTATGAACCCTAAGATGCCATTGGTCCATCTGCCATTCTAGGAGACATCAATCCTCTTCTTCTGGAAGCGCTTTAGGAGGCCCTGGCGGATCTGTTTAGACTTGACGCAGTAGACAATGGGGTTCATGAAAGGCGGAACCAAGAAGTGCAGGTTGGCCATGAGCACTGCTAGAGCAGGATAGTTGTGCTTCTCTACTCGGTGCAACACAGACAGCCCCAGTTTGGGCAAATAAAAGATGAGAACAATGCAAAGATGTGAGACACATGTATTTAGTGATTTGATCCGTTCCCCAGGTGATGCGATGCCCAGCACGGTCTGTAGGATCAATGCATATGAGAGCATGATCAGGGAAGAGTCAAGTCCCAGTGAGAAGAGGATGGAAACCAGGCCAACCAGACTGTTGACCTGGGTATCTGAGCAGGCCAGAGCCACAAGGTCACAGTGTAGGCAGTAGCAGTGTGAGAGTATGCTGACCTGGGGAAAGAGCAGACGTCGCAGGAGGATGGGTCCTGGGAGGTTGAGCAGAACAGCCCTCACTAGAATGGCAGCCCCCACTTTGGCCATGGCTGAGTGGGTAAGGATTGTGGCATAGTGCAAAGGGTTCCGGATGGCAACTATGCGATCGAAGGCCATGGCCAGCAGCACACCAGATTCCACATAGGTGAAGGCATGAATGAAGAACATCTGTGCTGCACAGAGGTTGAAGGGCAGCTCCCGAGCACCTAGCCAGAAGAGCCGCACCATGGTGGGGAAGGTAGAGGCACAGAGGCCCAGATCAGATGCTGCCAACATGGACAGGAAGACATACATGGGTTCATGTAGGGTTGGGTCTGTGCGGATCAGGAACAGGATGATACTGTTGCCAAAGATGGAAACCACACAGATCAAGTTGATAGGGATGGACACCCAATGATGAGAGGCCTCCAGGCCTGGAAAGCCAGTGAGGAGGAATGTAGTGTGTGCAAAAGTGCTGGTGTTGCAGGAGAACATAGCGATTCCAGGAGGGAATTGTCCACCCTAGGGATAAGAAGTATTCATTCATTTTGGTATTATGTAGAAGCCCTGGTGTACCCCTGGTGATGCAGTGGTTAATATGCTTGGCTGCCAACCAAAATGTCAGTAGTTCAAACTCACTAGCTGCTTTGAAGGAGAAAGCTGTGACAGTCTTCTGTAAAGATTACAGTTTGGGAAACCCTGTAGGTCAGTTCTACTCTGTCTCATAGATCACTATTAGTTAGAATTTAGTTGACAGCAACAGGTTGTTTTTTGCTATGTGTGTGTATGTGTGTGTGTGTGTCTGTGTGTTTAAATGTAGGCTATGAGGGAAGATTGCCCCATATTTTGTCTTAATCTATGATAGAAACCTAATTCTTAGAAGCTCCATTCCCTTCCATTTTCTGGCTAGTTTAATTTTCTTTTTGAATAAAGAGGTATTGAATAAATTTTCTGCTTGATCTTATGGCTTAGGGTTATTTCTTTAGCCACTCAAATCTTTACTAAGCAACGATCTTCTCTTCAGCCTAAGAAATCTCCTTTTTTCATTTAAGCTATAGCTAAAAACCTACCTCCTCCAGAGTATTTTCTCAGACTAAATGATAAAGAGTAAATTTCTGTTGAAATTTAATAGCTTTTGGTGAATTCCTGATGCTTTTCTACATAAAATACCACATCATCTGTAACTACAAATCATTTTACTTCTTCCTTTTCAATCTGAGTGCCTTTATTTTATTTACTTTCCTAAGTGAACACCTTCATATAACAAGCACCTACACTAAGAAATGAAATATTGTCAAAGCCCCAGAAACCTTCTTGTGACTCCTTCCAGTCACTTCATCCTTTGGGTATAACCACTCTCCTGGCTTCCAATGCTACAAATTAATTTTCTTGATTTTTGAAATCTATATGACTGGAGTCATACAGTACGAATATTATGTTTCTGGCTTCCTTCACTCAACTTTATGTCTGCAAGATTCATCCATATTGCTGCATGTAGATGTAGTTCATTTACTCTCATTGCTGTATAATTTTCCATTGTATGTCTACACCTCAACACATTTATACATTCTACTTTTGGCATACATTTGAATGCTTTCCAATTTGGAGCTAGTATAAATATTAAGTGCTGCCATGAACATTATAATGCATGTCTTTTGTGAACACATATATGCATTTCTGTCAGGTATATGCAGTTGATTCTCATTTTTTGCAGAAGCTATTGTCTATAAAGTTTCCATGAACACTGAATTAGTGAATATTGAACCACTTCTCTAAGAGAAATACAAGGTTAGTTTCTGCAAGCCTCTGGGCACATTTTGGTCAACCACTCTATACATAACCTTGTTTTATGTGTGTTTCTGTTTAAAGATATATTATTTAATATATGTTGTTAATTTATTAACATTGAACTCATGGCCAACATCACTATAACATGCCTGAACAGAGCTTATCTAACATGTATTTCCTCTGTAAGTCCTTCTCTATAGCTTTCTTGGGCTTAGGAACATTGGGTAGCACTTCAGCACAATGCTTGCAGCCATTTTAAACAGTGAAATCACCTACAAAAAGCACAAAAATGTGAAAAACATGGCACAAAATAGACTGTGAAAAGGATACTTGTTTACAGCATGAGAGCTAAAACAAGGTAGAGTGTTGCTTGTTCAACTTCAGCTGGGAACTTGCACATTGTTTAATTCAAAATTTTTCCACCCTGGGCATTGTTGGAGAAACATAATTAAAAACAAAATCTGCTGTCTTAGCCAGCTCTCCATAAAAGTAGAAGATAAAGAAAGAAATTTTATTTAAACCAAACATAATGCACATCACAAACAATTTACTAAAGAGACTGCAAAAACAAAAAGGAATTCTATCCTTTAATACAGCTAAGCAGATGCAACCCATATTGTACACACATTGTCACCCTAAAATCACCTAGTAATTGGGCTAGCCACCTGTGTTTTCTAATTGCCTTTATCCAAAGGAAAAAAAAAAAAAAAAAAATCTCATCTTTATGACCAGAGGTAGGTTTGCAACTTGGAGCCAAGTGTCAGCTGAAGTTAGGCTCCCATCCTCCCAGGAAACTGATACATAAGGGTGCTATCTTCCTTGACTGATTACATTTCAAAGAGAAGACTTCCAGTTCCTTCAGGAAGCACACCTGAGTTGTAAAATTGGTGAGGGGCTTATTTAGCCTTTAAAAGTACATGCATTTCAAAATGGCAGAGAAAGAACTTAAAGTATTTCAAAATAAGTGCTCCAAGCAAAGGGTGGGGTAGAGAGCACTTCCCTTTCTTCAGCAGAGAATCAAGCCTCTCTTTGGTTTGGTCCATTCTTTCTTCTAATTTGTATTTGCCCTTACAGCATGTCCGTGACAGATGACAAATGTTCCACAAGTATTGATTTTGGAGTTACAATGTTTAGCCAGCAGGCAAATTTGCAAACATGGAATCACAAATAATGAACAGCAACTGACCCTAGAATAATTTTTGTGACATAAGCTATGCATATATTCAACTTTAGTAGATCCTTCCAAACAGTTTTCCAATGTGATTGTACCAATTTACATTCACATCAGCAGAGTAGAAGAGTTTCCTTGTTCTATATCCTCAACAATATTTGATTTTGTTGATCTTTTTGTTATAGCCATTCAGGATGCAAGTAGCAGTATTGCATTGTAGTTTTAATGCACATTACCTTGATTACTAATAAAGTCAGTACCTATTGATATGTTTATTGGCTATTTGAATATCTTCCTTTTGAACATTTTTCATATTGATCTATAGAAGTTTTTAAAAATATTCTGCATAGTCACTGTGCATTTTCATGCTTTTAAGAGGCTGGTCACTTTTTAACTGCAATTTAGTATAAGTTATGTAACCTCACAGAGCTTCGGTTTTCTTGTCTGCAATATCTGCATCATGTAACAGCTTAATCCTATAAAGTGAGAGAGCTAGTAAAGCTGCTATGACATAGTATTTTCTCACATATTTCTTTCCCCTTATTAGTGAAAGTCTAAGACTCTTTCAGGATAATTTTCTTTATAATAATAGTCCAGAAAGATAACCCCTTGAACTACACCAAAATGCCATTATTCCCTCTTCTGCCCATTATTTAGATGTATATCTTTAGTAAACTGTAGGGCTACAGATGGTGGAGGAAAGGTTCATAGAGGGAGTCATTTCACCCATCTCAACCCTCCAGACAGTCTCCCCAGGCTAAGTGTAGTACGCACATGCCTCTAGCAAAGATGAGTCCACCACAGTCTAATTATGTGCTTATTCTATATATGTGTGAACAATTATCAAGGTCAGGACCACCACTCTGTATGAGTGTAGAGGGCACTGTTCACATTTTAATCACAGCCCTGGAACTGTGGTTCTCAGCCAGTGCAGCCACAGTAGGTGGCCCTGATCAGGAGCCAGAAACTGCACTGCCAGCTCAGAACTGGTGAGGAGACAGGTAATATACACTGACAACATTTTGGAAGAAAGCATTGAATATGATGATACACACACAAGAGGAGGTCTCAGGAGAGTACTGAGTTGGCAGTCAGTGGCAGGGGACAGGGGTAGAGAAATGATACCTACCTCACAGAGCTGGAGAATGTTTGTCTTCATTATCATTGTGCCCCAGAACCTAGCACAGGATCTAGCACAGAATGGAACTAAATAAACATTTGGAGAAAGAATAAGTAGATGATTTGACTTATGATTTACAAGCACTGTCTTACAAAGGCGAATTTCTGCTATATTTCAAGCACAGAGCTAGGAAATAGGTACACAGCAAGGAAAGTTAAATATGTTCATTTATTCCAACCTGAGTGTGCACAATTACACCAATTAGTTTGTGATAATGATGTTAATGATGATAGTAAGAGTAATTGCAAAGATTTATCTATTTAGGATCAAAGTGACAACAGCATCTCACAAAGTTAGATGAGCTTAGGGAGCAATGAGTTTATATTAATGATGGTGGGATAATTTGGAAAAACATACCAAGAACAGTTCCACACTGTTGCAGACTGTAAAGATTATAGTTAACAACCTTAGCTTAGTGTGTGGCATATGGTCAATAAGTGTTAGCAACTATTCTTTTATTTTATTTTATCTTATTTCATTTTGGTGAAACTATACACAGCAAAGGATACACCAGTTCAATAAATTCTCCATGTACAATTCAATGACATTGTTTACATTCTTCAGGTTGCAAAGTAAACAATTTCAATTCACAATTTCACCACAAAGGTGTGGTTAAAAAAAAAAAAAAAGTAAAACTGTTCACTACAGATTAATAAATAAGCACAAGTAAGTCTGTGCTTACCTTCCTTATTAGGTAATCCACCCCTGTCAGGAATTGTAAATTTGAAAAACGGTTCTGATTCTGTAGGAAGGAGCTATGGGGTTGGAACAGAGACAGATGCCAGCCACCTCTAGAAGCAGAATCTTAATGTGGTGAAAAAACGTGAAATTGTTCACTGCATATTAGTAAGTAAGCACAAGTAAGCCAATGCTTACCTTGCTTATTGGGTGATCTGACACAGCCCAAGGACCAAGAATCAAGTGATGTCTGATGCAAGGGAGGTTGTATCCTCCTCCTCCTCCTCCTGTTTCTCTAATGCTTCAAGGTGATAAGGGAGTTCACCAAAAAGTTTTGACCTTGCCACATAAGAAAAGGACAAGAATACTGACCTCACAGGGTGACTGAAAACATAAGAAAGAATATAAACCGTTTAGCACCTGTTGTTGTTGTTTTGTGCCATCCAGTCCTCGGAAGGAAGGTTGGGCAATCCTACTTCCATAGTGATACTGCCTCGGAAACCCAAGGAGGGGTCGCTATGAGTCAGGGCTGACTCGACGGCACATAACAACAACAACAACAACAGTCAGACCTGACTCATAGCGACCCCTCCTTGGGTTTCCGAGGCAGTATCACTACGGAAGTAGATTGCCCCATCTTCCTTCCAATGAGTGGCTGATGGGTTTGAACCGCCAGCC